TCTCCTGACCCCTCCAAAACAACCTGCAACACCCCTGACCATCCCTGGGTCCCGCTGTCCCATCCTGAAGAGCCCTGATCTTCTCCCACTCCACCAGGGACCCTGACAGTGTCTCCGCTCCTGCTGGCCACAGTGTTCTAGTACCCAGAAGGGAGGAGGAAAGCCCAGCTGCCCTGTGCTCCTCAGGATCACACAGGATGATAAACGCAGCTGGAGCCAGTGCAGAAACAGACAAGGAGGCCTGCAGTTGTGTTGGGGCAAGTTCTGTAAAAAGAAACAAGAGCACATGGCCAAAGGAAAAGTTCAAGGCAGGGTCATCTTTATTTTCAGAGCACTTGGTGAGTGTGACCACAAAAGACCCCTGTGAAGCATCCTCCAGGACCAGGAAAGGACTTGGAGAAGGAGGTGGATGCTTGTAAAAGAGCCCTAGGAAAATGATGTTTATGCCTTATTGACAAAGATGCTTTAGTGGCTCTGTGTGGTTCTTATGGATAAAACCCCTATTGTAAAGTCTCACCTCAAATGGAAATATGGAGAGATCCCTCTTGTTGTGGAGGATAGATAAGTATGATTCTCCATAAATAATACAGCCAGGATGAGAACAGTCCTCCCTGCTAGCCAGACAACACCCTTGCCTACGGACAAGGCGACATAGAAGCCGGAACTTTTTAAAGATTTGCCAAGGCAATCTACCCTTGTGACTAGCGAGCTTTCGGAGCTCTTGGAACTGCCTCAAGCACAGGAAATGCTGCGGAGCGGCAGCGACCCTGAGCTCTGTGAGGAGCCTTGTGGCACATCACCGCATGCAGAGAGCGCAGAGAGCACTGCCTAGCACTGCCCGCGCTGGAAGCCCTGAGGGGGAAGTCTGGAGGTCCCGAGCATGGAAAAGCCTTTCCGGTCAGACGCCTGAATCTGGAGCTCTGAGGGGACTCCTGCAGTGTCCTGAGCACCGACTGGAGGTACGTCGGAACTCGACAGAGGACCCTGCTTTTGTGACATCGAGGTGAGCTACACAGGTCTAAGAAATGGGAGAATCCCACTCTGCCCTTGATAGAGATCTCTGTAAGCAACTTAACCATCTCTTACATAGCTATAACAGTACTTTGTCTAAGAAAGAGTTAAAAAACCTCCTCGAATGGGTCCTACTTAACTTCCCTAATGCTGAGAGGTCCGCTGCCTTTACCAGAGAATTTTAGGACTCAGTTGGAAATAGACTTTTTATTGATATTTCAC